TGAGAATCCATGAGATATTAAAGTTTTGTCAAATGGACATGAACCTGATATACTTTGAGATTCACGTAACTCCAAAAGTGCAGAATATAACACAGCCTTGTCATATTCACTTACAGGTCTTGTAATTTGCTGCTGTTTAGGAATTTTTGTTGTTGCATTACCAAATGGAAATGGATCAACTATGCACTCATCCATATTGCATATGCACAAGGTCAAACAATTACTGCAGCAATCATGACCTGGTTCAAGTGGTTTAATATTTGGATCAAATGCACTGTAGTTTGCTACCCTAAGACAGGATGTTGATTTAACAAATGAGTTCACTTTGTCCTCACAGTGAGTTAACTGTTGTCCATGGTAAATAACCACAATATCTGATTGTTTTCCATCACGACCAGCTCTCCCTGCTTCTTGATGGTGGTCTAACAAATTGCGTGCTGGACCCCAATTGATGTAACGAATGTCTGGGAAATTTACACCCATACTTAATGCTGTGGTAGCTACAACTAGGGATGGGCCGATATCGATACCAAATACTCGATACTATCGATACCAGGGTTTTGAAGGTAAGTATCGATACTGGCAAGAAATATCGATGTTTCGATATTTCTGCGCCTGCGATATTTTTTCAATTTGGTCAGCGGCATCTTCATGAAAATTATACCAAAAAGCTTAAATAGGTGTAAATACTATAAAAGTAGTTCTTTTCTATTATGCTATAATATTCCATGGGCAGGATGGGAGTTTCTGGTTATGCTGGTTGCAATCTCTGACATATATTATTCATTGTTTATATTGTTAGCATTGTTGCCGTTGTTAAAGGTGATCATTTATTATACTCTAGAAGCTTGAAAATATAAATAGTTGTCGAATAAAGCTCAATATTTTGAACACAAAAATGTAAACAAAGGCTTTGTTTACATACGGACTGTAGATCACCTTTAATGATTAAAAATAGTCTTTTTGTTGTTATGGTTGTTCGAGTTGAGAAAATATCGATATCGGTATCGATATCGAAAAAAGAAAAACAATTCTCTCTTTGTAGTTATCCCAAGACATGGAATGATATATACCTACCAGACAATCCTCAGATTCCCTGGATGTTGGTGGACTGTAAGCAGATGACCCCAGCTTCAACATAAGATAGTCACAGTTGCAACATCTTTCATCATGTTGCAAAACAATATAATAGTCTTGGGTGTTTCAGATTGTTTTCTGCGACACAATTCAACCAACCAATCTAAATTGGAAAGTGCATCCTTTTTTGTAGTTTTGATCACATTTATCCGCAAATTTGTTCTGTTTGGGCTTAAAAATACTTCTAGAGCATCCGAATTGATTGCAAGGCCACACATGATAACCTCTCGTGTATGATTGTCTGCTGTACCAGTCAAGGCTAAGACAGGTGTTCCTGTTGTTTAAGAAAAGTGCATATATAAGTGTTTATATACAAGTAATTTAATCAATGTGAAACAGGTTGTATATTACTCATTTTAAATAAACGTACCTTCAATACTAAAGTAAACGTACCTTCTTTGCATAATGATTTCAAAATCGATAGATCACCATTGGCTGTTCTAAAGCTTTTTGCATTCTTGCACCTATTAAAAAATACATACGGATGAATGTCATATGTTGATAAAAACAGTCGTATACTTGAGCAAAGTAACAGGTACACACATATTTCTTAAACCTTTTCCCTGTCCACATCTCTACTGTATGAGATACTGTATGAGATATACCAATTCCAACGCATTGTGTAATCTTGACGACCGGTCTTTAAGAGCTTCGGTAAATGTCTTGCTGAGAACTTGTTCAGCTAACACAAACACAACCTGGTGTGTATCACGATCACTAGCCATCAGAAATTCATCGAGTGTGACACACTTCAAACCCAATGATTCTCCTTCCTTTATTTGATCTCCTATAATGCTGGTCAACGGGCAGATCACCAAAACGATAGTGTTCGGTTCCATCGCCTGCGCTATCTTCTTGCAATTCATTGCCATAAGAAATATTTGAAAGACGAGACTTTTACCATATCCCGTTGGCATAACGGCAAAAACATCTCTTCCTCTAAGTAAACAATTGACAGTCTGTTCTTGTTTCGCTTTTAATTGAAAAAAGTGACCAAAATCGGTTTTAATCTTATCGAGAGCTTTTGTAATGAATACTTCATTTGACGCCATGTTGAAAATTTTTGCCTTGGGGCTTTCACTTATCTAATTATAGAATCAAACAGCCAATCAGAATGCCGCGTTCGTGGGCGAACGCGCAAAGTACAAAATACCAGGCCTTGCTTGCAGGCCCACTATCAAGTTCCCTTGAGCCTGCTCCCTTGGGCCTGCACGCGGGCTAATGGCTTCCAAATATGGTCAGATACTTCGGAGCACACCTATGACATAAAGCTGTACTAACGAGTTGTCCAAGAAAGAATTAGTGAAGAAAGTTCTTGATGTTGAAGATTAGGGACTTCACAGTTTATGATCTAGTAGTGCTACAACTGCAGCTGCTCTGGGTATTGTAGACCGCCTGCTACCGAGGCAAGGAGGGTGGCGTACTGCAAAGGCAAAGAACAAATACAATGTTGAGTAAAAAAACTCTTTACTTCATATTACAAAAACAATGCAGAAGGCATAAGCTGTATAAATTAACTCTATGAGTTGTATGGTTGCAGCTCCTACCAGTGTGTGAGAAGTGTTCTACTAGCAATACTAGCCCAATCCTATGCCAAATGAGCCACGCGATCAGGTTGGTTCGAGTATGTGATATTTTGGAACCGAGTCTAGTTCCTTTGATATCAATGCAATCTAGTAATCATGATTTTTTTCTGTGTTGGTGTTATGTACTAGGGTGTATATGATGTTTGTGATGTTATTCTTAGTGTATATCCACACTGGGCAAGCTTGAAAAATATGCCTGGCCATGGTGGGAATCAAACCTACAACCTTTGGAATACTAGCCCAATGCTCTGCCAACTGAGCCAACCAACCTGACCGCGCAGCTCAGTATGTGATATCGTAGGCATAAGACAAGGTCTCTTTTTCCAACTGCATGGCATAATACCTAGCAAGTCTATGCACCTGTATGGATTTTCTAGTGTGGTTATTCAAAGAACTATACAGTTGCATAATGACCACATATTTGATAAAAACATTTTTTATGGTAAAATATATTACAACTAAGACTGTTCTAAAAGTTTTTTTCCCTTCATTGATAAAAGACTGTTTACATCCATTTGTAGCTACGCTAACATGGGACGCTAATTAAGAGGCTGTCTCCGTAAAAACCTCCAGGTCAATATGGGGCTCAAAAATAGATTTCTCTCATACTCTAGTATTTTGAAGATCTATGCTTGGGAACAACTAAAATCGATTTCATTTTACTCAAATTTCCTTTAAATTATTTTTGGGGGCGATTGATGTTCGATCGGCTGGTAACCAACTTGAACTCTGAATGAAGGCAAAATATCGACATATTTTCAGCGCTATTTTTTAGATCAAATTCATACCTAAATTTCAAAATTTTTCCTCAGAAATATAGACTTATCCTTCTATTTTCGTTGGTGATATGACTTAGATAATTATTCTTTGGTATAAAATAGAAAACAGCGCAGTTATTGACCCTCCTGAACGGATAACGGATATCGTCTCAAAATATATCAACTTTGAAAGCTTATTTCAAAATCGTGGCACTTGATTGGCACATGACTTTAACTTTTTTATAAACTACTAACATTGGTCAACACAAATCGCCAATAATATCTTTCTGCTAATACCATTTGAAAAAATGACAAGCGCGCAAACTTTGTAAAATTTGAAAATGTGTCGAAATCGAGCATACTTTATCGGTAAACCTAATTGTTGATATTAACAAATAAAACCACCTTACACTACACTGAATGAAGCCTGATTATGTAAATATATGTCTTTCATCATTATTCTTTGGTTTTGCACTCGAAAAAAATTGTTTGAGTACAGTTTGGCTTCAAGGATAGTCATTCAATGCCAGTGTGTTCGAATTCTGCGCGCCTCAATGCCATGAGTCCTGATTGTGACATACGAATTTCGCTCTGTTCGCTTTGTTTACCTCCTGTAAATAAAATGTCTCAAAGAAATTAGAAAATTCAGAGTTAGGCATACTACAGACATAATTTTCATTGGTTTGTTTACCTTAAACTGTTATATAAAGTTTCGTTTTATAGAATGTACGAATTAATCTCGGGGAAAACCCCTGGCCGAAAGAAATGTACTCGCTCAGCGTAAACATGTCAATCAAAGCATATATAGTTAATATCAAAGACGATGAAATGTTTCGTTGCTCTGTGATTTCCCTTTCTTTGTATTGCATTAAATAGTAGTCTTAGACAGTATTGCACGAGGTTTTTGTGTTTACAATATTGTTCTTTTCTGTACTAATTCGCGATTACATATGGTGTTCACTACTACTACAGCCGCAATTTGTGGTCACGCAACGTTAGGTAAACGTAAATGATTTCGACAGACAGTAGATTTTATGTTGACAGATGAGAATGAAGGTAAGCAATAATGTAGAAATGTTCCTTTTCTACTTCTGAGTGTGGAAAATTCCGAGACACAGTAGACTGTTCTTCGAAGTTGCTGGCGTGTAAGAATGACATTAGTTATCACTTGCAAATTTGTTACCTTTTAAAGCTGTCGGAAAGAAGAATATAAATTAATTCTAATTTTCAGAACCTTTCTAATTGTTACCGAAAAAAGGAATAACATTGATTAAATAACTGAGACATTCAAATGGGTTACAGCTGTTTGCGCTGAATTGTTTTGTATTATATCAAAATATTCGCATATTTTTATACAATAAGAAATAATATAAATTCTTGAAGCTTAGCCTTGAGCAAAATGACCCAGGGCCATGGGTCGGCCCGAAAAATTTTATATACAGAACCGTGACTTATTTGAATTCTAGTTTCCATTGATAATTGTTTCTAAACCTAGAGTTGCTAGAAAACTATCCTGAGCGAAACTAACGAAATATTGACATTTGAAACCACAGCGAGTTACATTTCTTTCGGCCAGGGGCTTTCCCCGAGATTTAATTTTATAAAACAGTTTTAAAAAAAACGATGAAAATTCTGTCTGTAGTATGACTAATTCTGAGTTTTCCAATTTCATTGAACATTATTATTTGTTAAACATGCAGGTAAAGGTATTTGTTAAAGAGGTATAAACAAAGCGAACAGAGCGCAGTTTGTATAGTATGTCACAATCAGGACTCGTGACATTGAGGCGCGCAGAAGACACTGGACACGCTGGCATTGAGTGACTCTATATCCATGAAGCCAAACTGTACTCAAACAATTTGATTCAAGTGTCAAACCAAAGAATAATGATGAAAGACATATATTTACATAATCAAGCTTCATTCAGTGTAGTGTAATGTGATTTTATCTGTTAATATCAATAATTAGGTTTACTGATAAAGTATGCTCAATTTCGACACATTTTCAAATTTTACAAAGTTTGCGCGCTTGTCATTTTTGTCAAATGGTAAAGCAGAAAGATATTATTGGCGATTTGTGTTGACTAATGTTAGTAGTTTATAGAAAAGTTAAAGATATGTGCCAATCAAGTGCCACGATTTTGAAATAAGCTTTCAAAGTTGATATATTTTGAGACTATATCCGTTATCCGTTCAGGGGGGTCAATAACTGCGCTGTTTTCTACTTTATACCAAAGAATAATTATCTAAGACATATCAACAACGAAAATAGAAGGATAAGTCTATATTTCTGAGCAAAAATTTTGAAATTTAGGTATGAATTTGATCTAAAAAATAGCGCTGAAAATATGTCGATATTTTGCCTTCATTCGGAGTTCAAGTTGGTTACCAGCCGATCGAACTTCAATCGCCCCCAAAAATAATTTAAAGGAAATTTGAGTAAAATGAAATCGATTTTAGTTGTTCCCAAGGATAGATCTTCAAAATACTAGAGTATGAGAGAAATCTATTTTTGAGCCCCATATTGACCTGGAGGTTTTTACGGAGACAGCCTCTTAAAAAGCGATTACTTCCCTGCCAACTTGTGTGTAAAATGCTCCTCACGTTTTGGACCATATACTGGCAATAAAATTGATTTTCACCACATCGATAGAATGGACACTTCCTAGATGTTTTGCCGACAGGAGGAGCCTGTAAGAGGGATGGGGGGGGGGACTGCCCTCCCCCAGTCTATATGTTAAAAGAGGCCCTGGAAAAAATAGATGGGTAAACACCCACCCGCCCCAATTCTATTCCAAACAAATGATGAAAAACAGAAATATTATTTTAATAGGCCAAAGTATAATAAAAATTTAAACTATTGTGTTGCCATGGCAATTGGCAACACTGACGTAAAAACGCGAGCTTGTGTCCAGTGTTGATCAATTACTAATACTTCATGTTAAATCAATGTTTGGAAAATAATAAAATATGGCTGGGCGAGGGGGTACTGCATGCGTGTAGTTAGTATAAGGACCACAGCTAATGTTGACGAGTTAAACCAATCTTGTGTAGACAGAGAAAAGTAAAAATCAGGGCGCATTGCCGATTAATGGGTTATGTTAACAATCAATACTAGTATTCACTTGTCATGAAACTTATGTGAAAAGAAGTTGGTCTTTCAGTATAATTTCATTAAAAAATGAATTCTCAGATTGACGTTCCCCCACATAGCTTGCAAATGTCCTCTCCCTTGGGTTTCTCTGATGAAATATACATCTGACATTTTGCACTAGGGCAGCTATGTTTTTAATTGGATGATTAAGATTCTTGAAATATTGCCTGAATCTGCTCATTTCCGAAATTGGAAGACTCAACATTGGGCAGTGAAGCTGTGGTAGATATTCTGCAGCAACCATAGACAATTTATGCCTCACAATAAATGCCATAACAAGAAGAAGACTCTCCCACAGCTATTTTTGCCTGGGTTTTACTGTTCAATGGAAGGTACTTCCACCCACATTCATTTCTTCACTTGAATTAGGATGTGAGTAGTCTTGACAGGTTCATCACAGATTAGGGAGCACTTTGATCATGTGCAGAACAAGAGACCGATGTTTCTAAGCTGTCTAAAAGCACAAATTATAATAATTGTATGCTGTCGTTTATACAAATCAAATTAAAACAATTGATATTATTATTATTATTGATATTGATATTATTTTTCTTAAATCTAAGACCAGAAATATCCATGATCATCCTTGGATTGATAAAGAGCTTTTATCTCTCATTAAGAGAAAGAACATGCAAAGACTAAAAGCCAATAGATCAGGTTGTGTTCATGACGCTCAAAAGTTTAAAGATCTTCGACGCCTAATGAAACAACTTATCTCGCAAAAAAAGGAGTACGCAACTAAACTCAGAGACTCTGTCACGGAAAACCCGAAACGGTTCTGGTCTTTCGTAAAATCCTCTAGGTCGGTCAAAATCACTGCGAATTTCCTTCGAGATAATCAGTTTTTTATTACTGACAGCCGTGACAAGGCTAACCCACTGAACTCCTTCTTCCAGTCAGTCTTTAGTCGTGCTCAAGCTACCACTACAACATCTAATCTCCCATTCTCCTCCGACACAGCCTTATCCAACTAACAGAAAACGAAGTCTTTAAAGCTCTTGACGGTTTGGATCCAAGCAAAGCATGCGGACCTGATGGGATACCTGGAAAACTTCTCAAGATGACGGCTGACATCATCGCACCATCTCTCTGTTATATATACAATCTTTCTTTGTCCCAAGGTGTAGTTCCTGCTTGCTGGAAGCTTGCAAACGTTTCACCTGTGTTAAAAAAAGACGACCCAACGCTCGCTTCTAACTATAGACCCATATCCCTATTATCTATCATCTCAAAAACGTTTGAACGCTGGGTGTATAACCACTGCTATCCCCATCTATCACATTTCTACCATCTACAGCATGGTTTCTTAAGGGGTAAATCTACGGTAACTCAACTACTCCACGTCTACCAAGAAATCCTAGATCTCTTAGCTGGTGGGAAAGAGGTTGATGCCATCCACCTAGACCTGTCCAAGGCCTTTGATCGTGTTCAACATCACATGCTTCTGTACAAGCTTGAGCAATACGGCATATCAGGCTCGCTTCTTCAGTGGTTTCGTAGTTACCTGAGTGACAGATATCAGCGTGTTGCCTTAGATGGGACCCTCTCAGACTGGCTCCCCGTGACCTCTGGAGTCCCACAGGGATCCATCTTAGGACCCCTCCTGTTCCTAGTATACATTAACGACATGCCAGGATACGTAGGACAGGGCTCGAGTATTGCATTATTTGCGGATGACCCTAAACTATATAGGCCCATAAACTCGGCATCTCACCATCTGTTGCAATCGGACCTTTCAGGCCTTCAAAATTGGAGTAATGACTGGGGCATGACGTTCAGCCCATCCAAGTGCAAAGTGATGCACATGTCTCGGAAAAAGGTCTGCTCCTCTGCTTCACTCCAATACCACCTGAACGACAAACCCCTGGAAAGTGTGACACACATCTCTGACCTGGGTGTCATAGTTTCCAAAGACCTCTCCTAGGCTAATCATATTGAAGACATATGCACCCAGGTCAATAAAACCCTTGGTCTAATTAAGCGGGTCTGTGCTAGAGACGTTGTGGATGAGTACGTGTCATGTGTGTGGTCACCTTACTCGGCTAAACAATGTAAATTAATAGAGAACGTTCAACGCAGAGCAACGAAATTAATTTTGAACTACCCTTCTCGTGATGTTACCTACAGAGACAGACTAATATCCCTAAACTTTCTCCCACTTGAACACAGGCGTGAACTTTATGACTTAACACTATTATACAAAATCAAATACAACCTTATTAATGTCACCTTTAACCAATACCTTACACCTGCAACTAACCCCTATTCCACACGCAACTTCGACCCTAACAACTATCACATAATCGTCTCCAATAATCAAGAATTCTTCCGACAATCCTATTTCCCACGCACCGTCATCCTCTGGAACAATCTACCACCAAACATCAAAGCCGCCCATTCCCTACAGATCTTCAAGCAACATCTTCAATCTTATTACAAAGCCAAACTGTTTACCTACATACCACCATAGATAATTTTGTTCTAAAATTCGTTGTACAGTATCCTATATGTTAAGTTGCATGTAATCTGTGATAGGTTCGTGCATAATTGTCCTAGTACATCTCGTTATCCATTAATTGTTAATTAAGGGGTCGAATATCAATTGGAATTTAGTTTCTGTTTTCTTCTCCTGTCACAGCATTTTCTAGTTATTGTTATTGTTATATCTCTACGTAAATGTATATACTTAATGTGTGTGACAAAATGAATAAAATGAAAAAAATGAAATACAGTTATCATAGATAAATTTCCATTTGTCATATACAAAAAGTCCTCCTTTAATAGATTGAAAATTATAAACTATTAAAGTGCTTATGAAATGAAATGAGTGATGAAGAATGATGTTTACAGTTTCTTCATATCTCAGTCTCAAGTTATCACACTTTCTATACTTTGAGTTGTGACATCACTAGTTTGACTTGAGATAATGGTGATAACAGGAAAGTCTGATATCTTGGTGAGTATTTAATAAAATTCAATGAAACTCGGTAAACTTAGTGGGTGCACCCATATGAATATTTTTGGTAGGTCATGTGGTTGTCATGGCAACTGTTCCTTTTCATAAATTTCCTCCTGTAGACCTCTTGCAGAGGATGTTAATAATAATAATAATAATAATAATAACGAATTTATTGTAGCCTTCCATTTTACATGGCTCTTCATCTACAATGTAACTACTTATTTACTACTTATATACTACTTATAATATATGCTACTTCTTATCATTAGTTAAAACATTAAAATATTGTACATGCACATGCTAGAGTACTGGAACGTAAAAGTTAACCCAAACGTTCTCTTGCTTGATCGAAGAGAAATACTCTTGTTTCAGCACAAAATGTTTCAAAGTTTTTCTCAGCCCTTAGGGTTTGAGGTAGTTTATTGAAACATTTAGCTGCGGAATATTGAAATATGTCCCGATCAATTGGTGTTTCTAAGAGATCTTTCGAGCAAGATCGAAGTCCACTTCTCCCTGGGTTATATAATTTTAGCTTTGCATATTCTGGCCAATGTTCATAGTTCAAAGCTTTGAAAGCAGTTTTTAGCAGATGCCAGTCTCGTCTTTCGAGCAGTGGGAGCCAGCCCAATTTCAAAACAGCGTCTTCTTTTGAAAACTTTCCTGTGACAAAGCATGCGGCGGAAGATTGAACTCGCTGGAGACGCTTTAGTAGTTTGGCAGGAAGAGGATAAAATACCAAGTCACAGTAATCGAGCTTAGATAGTATAAGGGTTTCAGCTAATCTTTTCCGCAAATTGAAGGGCGCCATATTACGAAGTTTACGCAAGATAGCCAGGGAAGCATAGCACGAGGAAACTGTTTCATTAATATGTTTGTCCCAACGAAGATTGTTGCTCAAATGGACTCCCAACAACTTATAGCTTTCCATTACCTCCAGGAATTTGTTGTTCCTGTTATTGTTACAGCTGTTGTTGTTGTTGTCCAAGCAAATATTCATCATGCCTTCTGTCCGTAGCGAATGGTAATTTGCCATTTGAGAAGTTGTGATCAACATCGCTTTAGTTTTGTTGTTGTTCAAAGCAAGTTTAGATTCATCGGACCAACGTGTTAGGTTCGTCAGGGAATTATTCATTTGTTCTACACCCAGTTGAAAATCTTTTGGTTTTACACTGTTATAGATCGTGGTGTCGTCGGCATACTGATGGCAATTACACACAGTTCCTAGCTCATCTGCGAGGTCGGCAACATACAAATTGAATAGGACGGGTCCCAAGATAGAACCTTGTGGGACACCAAAATTTGTATACAATTTTCCTGATTTCTTATCATCAATTTGGACGTACTGTTGTTTTTCTGTTAGGTAGCTCATCATCCACCGAAGAAATTGCGTAGAGAAGCCCATCAAGTGCAATTTCCTTATTATGATATCAAAGTGCACTGTATCGAATGCTTTACTAAAATCGGCAAAGACCATAATCGTAACTTCTCCTCTGTTCATCGCTTTAATAATATCGTCTCTAATGTTGATTAGTGCTGTAGTAGTGGAGTGCCCCTTGCGAAAGCCAGACATGTGTGAGGGTAACAAGTGCTTCAAATCAATAAATTCGGCCATTTGTCTTAATACCAGTTTTTCGTAAACTTTGGATAAAACGGGTAAAATAGATATTCCTCGCAGATCATTATTTGTTGTAGGATTGTTGATTTTAGGTATTGGCGAAGTACGAGCTAACTTCCACGCCGAAGGAAAGTATTCTTTTTCGATACAACAGTTAATAATATGGGTCAGGGGAGATGAAATATCTTCTGCAACTAATCTGATGAATTTTGCTGGAATTTGGTCCGAACCTGTTGAGCAGTCAGATCGAAGGGATTTAATTTCGCGAAGGACTTCGTGATAAGCAACTGGACGTAGGGTACAAAAGTTGTTTCCACACTCCTCTAACGAATCAATAATCGCGTGTAGCTCTTCGATTGTTTTATTTGTGGCATTAACAGTGCGTTCGGCAATGTTACAAAAGTAGGAATTGAGGCTGTCTGGATCTTGTCTTAGTGGTTGTGGATTTGGCTTCAAGACGCGGTGGATGACTTGCCATACCGCCTTAGAGTTTCGTTTAGATAAAGCTCGTTGCATAAAATTTCTTTTCGCCTTCTTAATTTTAGATTTAAGCATATTTCTCAGTTCACGGTAAGTAGCCCTAACTGTGGGGTCGCTGGTATTACGAGTTTCATGGCGAAGTTTATTTCGTTGCGCTTGAAGATCCCTGATATTTTCATCGTTAAGCCATGGAGCAGGCGGGCGGGTAATCTTAACACGTTTCATTGGTACATGTCTCTCTAGGCAGTCGGTAAACATAGTGCTAAATAATTCTAGTTTCTCGTTTGGGTCATCGACACCGTACACGATATTCATAGGTATATTTCTAAAGTCTTCCGCAAACGCAGCCTCGGTGTAAGTTCGCTCGTCTCTAATGTACTTATATCGTGGTAAAAATCGCGTGACTCGTGCATTTACACAAACATACGGTGCGCTGTGGTCGCTGACTAATGGACAGTGGATAACATCTGTATGTGTAATTCTATTTGGATGATTCGTAATAAAGTGATCGATGAGTGTTTGTGATGTAGCTGTGATACGTGTAGGCTTAGTGACCATTTGTTGAAGGTTATGCATGTCGAGGATCTCCAAATATTGCTTAGTCAATGGCGAACTCGAATTCAATAGATCCACATTCATGTCTCCCGTAATCAAGAGTAGCCCATCCCATTGGGTCGACAGATAGGATAATATACTTTCGAATCCGTCCAGCCAACTTTGCTTCGATAGAATTCTTTCCGAGCGATACATCACACCTAGCAATAGTTTACTATTCTTATTACGTCCGGGAATTTCAAGCCAAATATGTTCCATATCAGGTTGTAATTTCTCAATGTCTTGTCGCCGCTTAAAGTTTATATGGTCTCTACAGTATATACCTACACCCCCACCACGAATGTGATCTCTATTTCGAAATATATTTACATAGCCAGGGATGGAAACGTAATCTAGTAGGTACGGATTGTCCTTTAACCATGTTTCACTAAGTGTGATGATGTCGAATGGGAATTGATTAATTGTAAGAATAAATTCATCAAATGTCGACATCATGCTTTGGGTATTTAGGTGCATTATACGTAATTGATCAGATTTGGCTTGCAATACTAATGAGTGTTCATCTTGGGTAGCAAACGAATCACAGTCGGGGATAGAGGTTTCAGAGATATTTGCGTTCCAAAATGGTAATGCCGTAAATAAACATTTTTGACAAGTCCAAGTCTTTGGAGAGGAGTTGCAAAACAGTTTAAGGTTGATGGCAGTGTTTGAGCAGCGAGCATGAGTAAAATCATGACATACTTCACAGACAAAGCGTTTGTGATTCTTAGCGACAGGCTTTTCACAAGCAGAGCATCGGGGGGCTTTCCGTTGAACTTCATTTGGTTTGCTGTTTGGTCCGGGGTTTTGTTCGACACCAGCTATTATTAAGAGCAACCTGTGTGTCGCATTTGAATTATTGTAATAGGGAAGTGGTCTCTTTAGTCGCTTGAATTTGCATGATGAGTACGAAGTATTTGTTATGATTAATAGACATTGTTTGTACTTAAAAAACAGATTATGGTTACCGCCCCAGTGGGAGTGTGTAATTACAACTATTCTGGCAGGATGGCTGTCAGTTGCAGAATTAGCCGTCGATATTAGACTCTTAGTAATCCTGTAGCTACTTTCTTGGCGATACGTACAGTATATGAGACCTTCAAAATACTTATCGCTATGTTTGTAAGACTCGTCCATTGATTCCATTTCATACGAATCAGCCATGCCGTTCACATTGTTCTTGCCCTGAAGTCTGAGTATACGTTGTGCTACACACGATACATCGGCATCGAAAAGTCCACCAAATGAACCATTTTGCTGTCCCCAGTCGCTGTGATATACTGCAAAGTAACTCTGAGTTATATTTTGCCATTTCCAAGCACCAATGTCATAGTATAAACAGCATACAACGAATATTGCGGAGCACGTCAAAGCGTGACCGACCGCCATTTTAAACTTGAGATAATGGTTTACACTGGTCACAATCCCTACATGTACTATAGTAATAGCGAAAATTACAGAGTAATTGCTATTTATTTCGTTGGAAATGGATCATATAGAAATTGGAAGAGAAGGGACTGGGGATGAATGTGTTGCTATAACAACCATATAAACAAGCCAAATTGTTCACTTCGTTGCACCCACTAAGTGTGCCATGTTTCATTGAATTTTATTAAATGATCAAGATATCAGATTTTCTGTTTATTGCCACTATTATGAGTCAAAGTAGTGATGTCACAACTCAAAATATAGAAAGTGCGATAACTTGGGAATGAGATACGAATAAACTGTAAACGTCATTCTTCATCATTTGGGCAGTACCCTTTTAATAAAACAATAAAAAAATGAGGCAAAAATTTTGTTTCATAAGCACTTTAAGGAATAGATTTGATCAAACATTGTTGACTGATTGTTAATATCATCATATCATGACATGATAGCACTGACACATGCAAACAGTCGTGTAGCTAGCGGTCATGCTGAGCATGAACAAAAATTTTCCCAAAAATAAATAATTTCTTTCCGCTAAAATTCAAATTCAAATCTTTTAGCTTTTCGAAACTTTCACAAGTACTGTGAAAGTAGACAAGATTTCGCTATATTATGTCAAAATATTGCTCATTTGCATAGGTTACCTAGCAACAAACATGGCGAGTTCATGTGAATTTCATGTGTACAGCATGTTCTACACATTTCGCGGTCTAGTCATGCCCTCTGAAATCAGCATGACCAAGTAATATATTTTATAGTAAAAATACTGGCAATCTGATTGGATAATGGCAACTGCGAATGCTTAAACGTGCTGTTTCGCAACATCTACCCATGCTCATTTTCCAGAGCATGACTTGAGCCTTTGTCCTTTGATACAGTCTTTCTGTTCAAGATAATTCACGCTCGAATTAGTCGAATACTCTGTTCAGGTGTCAACTGATCAAAGTATTTCTCATTGTATTAATTTGCATTTTAATGGCTTCAGGAAGCGTGACGGCTTCCACAGAAGCAGATATTATAAGTGATATGCTGAAGAAACCTTTCTCTGCTCGTCAATCAGGCGAGCAAAATATAATTGTAACACAACGGCCAATGCCAAATTTATACAATCGACCACTGGAGATAGAAGCTTTCAGGAGAGTTGGTACACAAAGAAAGATTGGCTTTGTAGTAGTTTTAATACTTGTTTATATGCACCTATGTTTATATGCACCATGTTTATATGCACCTATCAATGTTAAATTAAGCCCCAGAGGTGGGGGGTCGGGCATATGTGGAGTACTGGGGCATTTGATTTTTTGAGCAAATTTTCAATCAAATGCCCCACCGTCGGGCAATAAATATTGGTCAAATATCCAAACCATTTTCCAATAAATTGCAATAAATACTATATTAATAAAAGTCATTTGGTTTAAATTGCCCCAACTCAGGCCCAAAATGCTAATCAAAATCCCCAGGGTGGGGATGCAATTGATTATAAAACACCAAAACTGTCTGTACCAGTGTTGGTAGTACCAATGTGAAAACGCTGCGCTGAGTGGTTATATTACTACCTTAAAAAACAAGCAGAAACTCAACGTTTTGAGCGAAGGCTACTAACTCTTGACGAAGGGCCTTCACTCGAAACGTCGAGTTTCTGCTTATTTTCTAAGGCAGTAATATAACCACTCAGCACAGCATTATAAAATACCCCACATATGCCCGACTCCCCTCAGGGGCTTAACATTGATAGGTGCATTATTATAGTCCATTGAAAATATTTTGGGGAATATTAGATTTACAGGGGAAATATCTATATGAAAGTGGTGACCTCAAAATAAAATTTAATATTTCTTTTACTATTATTACCAATACCAGAGTTATACGCCTGTGTTCTAAAAGCTCACTCACACTCAATGAGTGGAGGTTCAATCTGAGTGTCAATGTTGTTTTTGAATAGGTGGAGGGTGAGTAGTCACATAGTAAGGTTTGATACTCCCCAGCTCTGCCAAAACAGCAATGACACTCAAGAGAAGCTCAGATCAAACCTCCACTCATTGAGTGAGAATGAGTGAGCTTTTAGCTAGAATACAGGCAATAGGGAAAATATGCACTCAAATGTGGTGACTCATGATATAACTATTCCTGGGGAGATAACCACTTGACTTAAATGTGGTGACCCCCAAATATAATTTTATATCTTTTATAATTTTATATCTTTATAGCTTTTGCTATAAGGTCTATTAATTTTTTAATAAAATGACCAGAGTTATACGGGAAATATCCACTCAAATGTGGTGGGTCCATGATACTGTATAACTCTTCCTCGAGAGATAACCACTCGACTTGAATGTGGTGACCCCAAAATCTAATTTCATTTACATGACCAGAGTTATAAGGGAAATATCCACTCAATGCGGTGAGCCCATGATACAACTCTTCCTGGGGAGATATTAAACCACTTGAATGTGGTGACACCAAAACATAATTTCATATCTTTCTTTTACTATAAGTTTTACTTTTTATATTTAGATGACCAGAGTTCTAGGGGGAATATCCACTCAAATGTGATAGTTCATGATATAACTTTTCCCAAGGAGATAACCACTTGACTTGAATGTGGTGACCCTAAAATTGCTTAGATTGCTATGAGGTCTATTATTTTTTTATTACATGACCAGTGTTATAAGGGAAATATCCACTCAAATGTGTTGAGCCCATGATACAACTCTTCCTGGGGAGATAACCACTTGAATGTGGCAACTCCAAAATATAATTTCATATAATTCTTTTACTATAAGTTTTATTTTTTAATAGATGACCAGAGTTATATGGAAAATATCCACTCAAATGTGGTGGCTCATGATGAGTGATGATATGTGGTGACACATAATTTCCATGTTTTTCTTTTACTATTTCTATATCAATTTAATAGACTTGCACAGAAAATTGCACCAGTCTTTGCCTCACCGGTACAGAAAGTTTGTCTCGCATTTACATATTAGTCTATGGCTTATTGTATGCTTTCATGTACTTTTTCGTTGGGAATGACGATTGTCATTCTAGTGCAGCATCGTAACTTTTTGATTATTATTTGCAATTTGCACCCAATCTGAGACTGTGCCTGCGAGTGAAGTTATAAAAAACTCGTTTGAGTTATTTGTAATATAATTAGTAATGCTGTTCATGCTGAAATAAAATAATTATTACAGATTGTTTCTATTGTGTTTTTATTATATGAATTTCCATACGTTTTGCCGCACGGAATGCAGGAAATTAAGTTCGAGTGATGCTATAAATTGCCCAAATGTTTTGTATGAATATGAATAGATAAATGTCTGAAAAGGCCGTTTCTGACTATCTAGAGGCCCTAATTTTTTAATTTTGTCACGCTCGGCGCCAACCAAACCATGGTTGGCGCCTCGTGAGCTTGGTACTCAGCAAATAGCATGACCAATAATTTTTTCCTAGCTACGCTACTGCATGCAAACCAAGATTAATCATTCACATGGACAAGAATATTTTATATTCAAACCATTTATGTTTGTGTCATGTTGGTCTTGTTAATGCAAGATCAAGATTTGCAAGATCAAGATTTGCCTCAAAAATTCGACTTGATCACACCCTCACATTCTCTCTTCTCCATAGTGTCGAAGGAAAGGGCTCACCTTTCTGATCATACCTCCAGTGTTTATAACTACGACCTGTTGGTGACTCATTACAACACTGCCCCACACAAGTTCTAATGCCATGCACCAATCTGATTCCTTTTAACCCATCTTATAGTGACACTCCTTCCCAGCCACTTGTTTTTTTTTTAGTCTGTCTAATGCCTGATGATTCACTGTTATTAACACCCAATGATTTTACTCATGAAGGGCTTAATAGATTGCAGTAAATAGTACAATTGCCCAGGTCCATAGATTAAACTGAGGTCCACCTAAGAGACTACAGTACTTTCATACAGTTAACTGATTGAGTGACAGAAGTTAGCATTTACATGTAGAGAGAGTAAAATAATAAAGTAAGGTGCTTTTTTAATAATAAAGTAATAAAATAATAAAGTAAGGTGCTATTTTCACTTAATTAATTTAATAAAGAATGACAGTAACAAAGACATCTTTATGTATGCATTTCAATAGAAGAGGAATCAGAGTGATACTACATACTTCCTAATCTGACTATATATGATTTGTGTGAGGTATACAGCTATTTCAATTGGGTTGTCCACGAGCAAAGCGGAAATGTCGAATATGAGCGCAAGAGCTTCTGGGAATCCCCCCAAGAAAGAAAGAAATTTTCATAGCGATTCCCAGCAGCCTTTTGTGCTAGTATTCGACTTTTCCGCTTTGCTCAGGGACAACCTTAATTGAAATAGCTGTGTACTGTATTATGCCAAGTAAAGTTGTCTGCTGTGACTACTCTTGTGAGGACACAGTAAAAGAGCAAAGTACTTAGAAAGCCCATCTTTACAATGGTGACATCGACTGCGGTTACCATTCACATATCATTTGATGGTAAAGGTGTGGTGGGTTTGCGACCAACCTTTGCTGATGGACCAGCTGCCTCAGACAATTTTCATTTGCTTGGTCTGCTTGGCTTACCACTGGTTGTTTCCATGGGAACAACTTCGTTGGCACTGATCAAGCTCTAGGAAATTTTCAAAACAAAGTCCAGCAATGACAAGCTTTATTTCTTTCAAATTCTGAACTGATCACAATGCCTGCAGTAGAGAAGCCCAGCATTGACCTTTGTCATAACCTTCTCGGTCTTGAAATTGTTCGGTACAATGAGATGAGCATGTCAGCCTTATCAACAGTGCAAGATCAACTGCAGGCACTGGATGCTCTTCCTTTTGGGGACCACTGTTGAACTAAACCTAATGGTTCCACACTGATATAATTGGAGGCGATGTGGACAATGTTGTTGTCCAACCATTTTACCACAATTATTCCTAACTCTGTATCAGACTTGAAGTCCATGGTGCTACGTACCGCTTTATTGCTGTCCTTGTTGGGTTGCAATGAACATCCTTGAAGGTGGAATAAATATTCAGCTCACTCCCTACTAGACTATGGCTCTATATATTTGTAACATGAATTGTAATAGTGCTTCGGTGTCAACTTTTCATGTTTGAGAAAACATGATGAATCCTATTACCGGGATGAAACCTACAACTTCCGGCAGAGCGTTCGCTTGTTTATTTTCACATGAGAAAGTCATAGGGTTCGCAGCCGAGAAACGAGGCTACTATATTCAGAGGGGAGAACCTAATATGGATCTAACCACTGTAGCACTGAAGCTCATGAACATGATGAAAATGGATAAAATCAAGCTTACAATAGTTTTACTAATACATAGTATATACACAATATGAGATATATACATAAACACTATAAAACAGGGTAGAATAGAATGTTCAACTGGTTTAACCTGCAGCCAAGAGGCCCAATACTGAAGACAAAAGAAATATTTACTTGTTGCAACTATATTCAAAAGAAATTGCAGTAAAATACAGCACATGTTGTGTCTTTTATTAAAAATATAATGTTCATGTAATCTGAGCTTCAGTGACCACTTCGGGGCAATGTAGCAGATATGCTACAAATATCTTTATGAAATTATTCAATACACACAAACGAATTTATACAAACACAAATACGATATGAAAAGACTGCCTTATGTCAAATTATAATATACTAAAACTTATACCCTAGAGCGCTTTACAAAGATAGAACATTGTCACGAACTTGGAGCTTTAAAACTTACCGAAATCACTGTGATTTGGACATCATTTTCTCGGTCTAAAAGCCACTTTGGTAAAAATTTTCGCCATTACAACAATGTCAACAACGTGGGCTGTATTGCATTGTGGGTAAAAGAAGAAACTAGACCCAGACTGTGAAAAATTCGCGCACTTTTCTATTTGTAGCAGATCTGCAACACTGACTTAAACTGTAACAACTTGGAACAACATGGTTGACAACTTGTTCATAGTTGGCCGCACAACATTGTTCACGCCTGTCGATATCAACTTGGAACAACTTGTGCATTTTTAGCCGTGTATGCGATGTCACCAGCGGCTACAGAAAGGTCATACATTGTACTTTATCTTATTAGGCCAATGAAAATTGATATCATGTTTCACGTCCACAATTTTCAAAAATTTGGAGCAGGATTTTTTCATTTTTCATTATTTTTTTTATTTGAATTGCTTGTCAATAATTTCCTTAACCCAGTAAAAAACCCCATAAAAATCTGAAGTAAATCGGTGTATAATTCATTTTAATTTAATACGTCCTACACTACAGTATATTCCTATGCATACCAGGGCTGACATGAAAATAGAGGCATTCGGGCGAGTAATATCTTTAGAAAGATACAATTTGAGTTGCGCTTGCGGAATGCAGCAATAAGACTTTGATCTGGAGATCAATTTGGTGTTTTGTTACGCCTATTTTTTCAAAAATAATGAATAATGAAAAATTTTCGTGTGGCAGATAAATCCAATACGGGCGGGGACGAGAAACATGATATCAATTTTCATTGGCCTTAAATGTCTTCGTTCCAACCACAAGTCTGGATGAATAGCATACCAGGGATTAGGTTTTTAGATTACCAAGAAACAAAATTTCGTTAAACAAGTTAAAAAGTGGGGGGGGGGGGGATAATTAGATATTCATCCCCCCACTCCAAAAACTGGGGGCGTGTCCCCCCATCCCCCCAGGATTGACGGCCATGTATGGAACATATTAACTGCAGAAACATTTTTTTATAATAAGACAATTATAGTTTTTATGTTCTGAACAAAACATTTATAAACATAAATATAAACCTTTTTGCAATCACATATTTCAGTATTTAAACCCCCTACTACCACCCCCCCCCCCCCCCCCCGTCATGAGAAACAGGACTCAAAGGCATAGCCAGGATTTTCTGCGAAGTGGGGGGGGGGGCAAAAAAAACCCAAGGTAGGGGATGGGGGGGGGCAACATGTCTCCAGGGGGCTGGGTCCCTGGCCTTGTTTATACACACACTGAATATGATGCAATAAAAACTGTTATACACATTTCTACACTTCTAGCAGTAGCTAGGATATATGGATATTATTTTATAGTGAATATGAGTGATAGTGGTATTATTGTTTTCCAATAATATTGGACAACAATAATACCACTATCACTCATATTCACTATAGCAAGAAAGCTAGAAATTAATTGATGATTTAAGGGTGACAGCACAAAGTGTGGTCAGAATACTTTATTTTATTAGGATTTCTACCTCTCTTTGGCTGACCATCTGTATTTATTAAACAACTAGAAATTTCCTCCTCACACTTTCCAATGGCAGTATCACAGAAAGTAGAGACCTCTTCTAGCTTCCCAACAACCTGGCAAAGTGCATCGTACATAGCCAATGCAGGTATAGATACATTGTCAACTGCATCATTTCCAAGATCATCGATGAAAGTAGCCAAGTGTCAGATATTGCTCTTTGATCAAACCCAATTTTCCCATGATGCTTTGGTTTTTAAAATAATGAGTTCATATATTTAATACCAGAGGCTGTTCTGTTTTTGCCAACACGAAATAAATGCGCTTTGCCCATTGCTTTCGGCACCACAGTTCACAATCTCTCTTTCGCTTTTCATGTTGCATTCACTGTTCAGCCATTTGCAAAATTATTGAAGTGGAGAATTCTTGAGCTTGTGTACATGGATTTTCGTACCAAAGGTCTTTAAACTTCCTCTTCAGCGGTTTTGTAGAAACTACAATGTTTCCTTGCCCATCTCTCGTTTCAAAGAAATTTTTAAATGCTTTAGGCAAAGAAATAACTTTTGAAGCTGTTGATGTCTTGTATGCTGGAATACTTGTCTTTTTTACACTCCGAGTGGTGTCCTCCAATGTTTGTTGTGTCTCTTGCTGAAGTCTTTGCCATTCAAAAGCAGTTAATTCCAGTAAAGTGATATCTGATTCTTGGATATCCCTTAAATGTTCAACTTGCTTTATTCCATTGGCAAGGAATAATTTGTACTTTCCATCAAGGGATAGCTTCTCTAAAAATTGTTTGAGTTCTGGGATTTCAAGCTGGGACATTTAAATATTCATTTAATTTTAATGAAGGTTGAATATTTAAAATCTTGGCTGAAAGAACAAAGACATTCCAAAACATGTGGCATGTCGCTGTCTCATGCTTGAACCTCAGTACTTCATGTTTATAGCCTGAATATGACCAGAATAACAAATGTGGCCAGAACAACAAATTGCCAGTCAACTCTTGATACGACTGTTGGTACGGTTTCTTTTTGCATGTTAATGTAGTGATATAGATTTTAAATATTAATATGCATAAAACAATGGACAGCCGAAAAAGGAAAGTATCTTGGTGCAGTCTTTAAATCGATACAAATCTCTCTGCAAAACAAAACAGCCGAAGAATGCCACAAGTACTTACAGGCAAGCATTAAACAATCTATTTCAAAGTTATCTATTTCGAGACTTGATGCTTTATCGTCTCTGTTGGATGAACTTGTCGTGCATAAGTCTTTAACATTTGACCAGGCATTTGATGAGTACATAGGAAAGATCCCACCAGGACATTGTGCAAAGGATCTGAGAAGTGCAAAAGGTTTCAAACGGTTCTCCTGATACACAAAGGGCTCCCTGTTATCATATTACAGAACTATGGAATGAGGTATGAAAGTTTTCCCCTTTAATATTTTGGGTTGTTTATATGGTTGTCATGGCAACGCACTTGTACCCAGTAACAGAATGCTATACAGAAATCGATCTCTATTGTTTTCTGTGTATAAAGTGCGATTTGCCATTGATTCGTGCTTTGTAGCAAGCGCCGTAACCAGAAGCTGTCACCCCCTGAAAATATACAAAATGGCACTATTTCACGGGGGTGACTGCTTCTGTTTACAGCACTTGCTATAAAGCATGAATGAATGACGAATCGTGTGTTATGCAGAAAACAGTAGAGTTTGATTTCTGTGTAGTATTCTGTGACCCAGCCCCTTTTCTAGTCTCTTCTATGCAAACGTCGTCTACAAAAGGTCAACAGACATCCTCGTTCCCAAGGCTTGGCTGCAAAATCCTTGGAAAAATTGTACGTGTCACAATTGCATTTGTACATGATTGAAGAGATGGGGCTGTCCAAGACCCAATGTGAACGAAAGGGCTACACAAAGTCAGACAAAATAGCAGATATCATGAAGCATTATTATAGCACATCTGCTTCTTATACCAAGCCTACTAAATTTCCTGTTAGGCCCTCGGTTCCAACTGTCAAGCCATCAGTTCATTCCGTCAAGCCATCAGTTCATTCCGTCAAGCCATCAGTTCATTCCGTCAAGCCTTCAGTTCCTACTGTCAAGCCCTCAGTTCCTACTGCAATGCCCTCAGTTGCTACTGTCAAGCCATCAGTTCCTACTGCGATGCCCTCAGTTGCTACTGTCAGGACAACTGCTTCTACAATTAGTTCTTCGGCTCCTACTACCAAGGCCAAGCCCTCCTGTGCCTTCATCAAGTGTACTGATTCTGCAGTCAAACTCTCGGCGCCCGCTACAGTGATCAACATCTCTTCAATACCACAAGTATGCTCGCAAGTTCCTTCCACATGCCCTGCATCCCAATTAAATGTTCCTCCATGGGGAGGTGCAGTCTTCAGTACAAATACGGCCATAAAGACGCTAATAAATACCTGCCCCATTGACAACTATTTAACAATATTTTATGTTATCATGACTGAACACGGTGCTTTTTATCGTCATTTACAATCTTCTGTTGAGTTGTGTGCAGTACAGCTTGTAAAGATCAAGGACCTCTTCGATAAACGAATGTATTCTGAAGGAAAGCTAACCTGGATAACAAGCTTGTTCCCTGGAAGGTTTGACATGACTCGTCCAGTTTTAGATCTTTGGGGAAACGAGGAGAGTGTGGCAGGTCTGCTATCAGTAAAAAATGTTTCTCCTTAAAACAAATTGTTAACACCCCAATAAGAAACGAAGCTATCTTGGATCTGATCCTAACAAATATGAGTGATTTGTGTCCCCAAGTTAACGTCATGGCACCATTGGGTTGCAGTGACCACAACTCTGCACTTTTCACTCTTGAAAATACTAATTGTCAGAACCAGTATAATAAAGTGATTATCCGGTGAGGAAACGTGAGAACTAAATGTGATTTCAACGAATGGCTAACCAAGATCAATTGGCTGGGTTTGTATTGAACAGAGTCATGCAAGACAAAATTGAACATGTTCTATAGTGTTGTTGAATCTGGTTTAGATTATTTCCTACCAAAAAAGACTGTAAAGATGCATGCTAGTGATAAACCTTGGATAACACCTAATTACAAAAACCTTATTGCTGACCGGCGAAAGGCCTTTCGCCAAGGAAACTGTCCTCTGTACCACAAACTACGAAATCAGTGCATTAGAGAGAGCAAAAGATTGAAGTCCACTTTCCTCAATAATAAGTTAAATGAGTTGAAAGGTAATAAGAACAGCAACAAATTGTGGGACACTGTTAAACAATTAGCTGGTTATCCAAAAAAGCAATTATCACTGACCGTCATCTCGGAGGGCATGACTATTACTGGCAATGATTTAGCAGAACAAATAAAAACACTGCCTTCGTATATGTTACACAACACCTTGACCCGATACGTAGCACCCCTGTTGCCATGCAAACTACAAACGATTATTCTGAAACCCTACCGGAACTAATCATGAACTGAAATCGATGCTTACCGCAAATTATCCACCATTTCAACCAATAGCACCTATATTAAATGCATCCTTTCAACAATCATTGATCCCTCCTACCTGGAGTCATAAGGATTTTTCTATTGGATTTCGCTAACACTTTCGATCATATTGATCATAACATTTTACTGCACAAACTTTTGTACATGAACGTCCCACAAAATATAATTAACTGGATCGCACACTTTCTAACAGAAAGGGAACAACGTGTAAAGATTGGTCTTTGTACGTCAAGCTGACAAAAACTAAATGGCGGAGTACCCCAAGGTACCAAGGTATCGTTCTAGGACCAATTCTTTTCTTCATAATGATTAATGACTTGTTAAAAGATTGGCAAGACCGTTGGAAGTATGTAGATGATACAAATGCCGCTGAATGTATCGGACCCAACTGCCCATCTCACCTACAAGATGTAGTGAATTATCACTACTTGGACTGTTAATAATAACATGAAACTTAATATTGCCTAATGCAAAGAACTAATAATTGATTTTACTACTGAAAAGATCTTTTCAACCTCTGACTGTGGATGGCAACCCAATTAAGCTCGTCGAATCCGAAAAGATCTTGGGCGTCGTGGTCCAAAACAATCTAAAGTGGAACCTTCATGCAGAAAATATTGTTAAAAAGTCAAGTAAACGCCTGTATATGCTGAGGTTACTTAACAATCAAAAGCGGATATGAAGACTCTGGTCGTTCTTAATATAACAGTAATAAGACCAATACTTGAGTACACCTGTCAAGTGTGGCATTTTAACATTCAAAAATTTTTATCGGATGATATTGAATGAATCCAGAAACGTGCATTGAAAATCATTGTTCCAAATTCAACTAACAAGGAGGCATTAGAAGTTACAGGAATTACTACCCTTTATGACCAGCGGGAAAGACTTTGTGATGAATTCTTTAAACAAAATATTAATAATGCCAAAATGACAGACTTATTTCCAGACTCATTTACATCAAACTATAACCTAAGATTATCACGTAAATTCAATAACTATAGTTACAAAACTGACCGCTTTAAACATTCCTTTTTACCCGAAATGATTTCTAAAGAAAATAGGATATAATTTTAATATCAATCGTAATTTAAGTGTTTAGTCTTATATTATTCTTATATGTAATATAGATTTTAGCTATATACAGAAGATCTTATGTAATTTAATCTTTTGGTTACAAAATAAGTTCATTTCTTATTAAATAATAATAAATAATAAAAGTAAACATGGCATAACCATATACTTACCACACAACACTCTCTCTATATCGTAGACAGATTTTTTTTTGGTTGCCAAAAATTCAGGAAAGGTGGCCAAAATTCAGGGGGTGCCAAAAATGCACACTTGCTGTCATTTAATCCAATTTACATTTCGGGGTTGGGGGGTTGGGGGGGGGGGGCTAACACATCTTGGGTGGTTGCAAAAATATTTTCTTATGGGGTGTACATGAGGTATGTGCCCCCAGGGCTATATATGTATATATTAATTTTAAAATATATTTAACCCATTGACTGGCAATGTGCCTACTTTAGTATTTACTCTGACTAATGCCAGACGATTTTACTTGGGAGTGGTACAGTATTGCCAGTAAATGAGTTAACAAACCTATCTTATCAACACATTAGCTGGCATGTGCCAAATGCACCCTACTTTAGTATTTACTCTGTTTAACACCAGACGATTTTGCTCATCAGTGGTAGACAACTGGAAGTAAATGCGTTAATATGAAACATTTCATTAAAAACTTACTATATTTATTTGCATTTTTAGTCTGCCCTCAGAATATCTTAACATAATGGTTGGCATGTGGATCATGAAATGCATCTTGGGAATGATTGAACATTCTTGATAAACATTACAGAACTCAGTATGGTGATCTTCAATTAGAACTTGAAGGTATGCTATCTGATCCATGGATAGTGTTGGAGAAAAGCAGGGCCGGATTAACGTTGCGCGAGGCCCGCGGCTGATTTTAGCGCGAGGCCCCTCAAACCCAACCCCCCCACCCGTTATGAAAACCTTCGCAATTCAAAGACACACAAAATTGTTAAATAATTGCTTTCAATATTTCAATTGATTGGCATCAATTATAAACAATTGCCTGCCTGGCCCAATTGTTGGGTCAGCAAGTATAAACAGGATCATATATAACAGATCAGCGCAACTGGAGATTACATGCATACGAGTATTGTATATTTTCCTGGGGTAAACTGCCAATCCTAGGGGCCCTAAATGTGCGATGTCCCTAATTCATGAGGCACCTAAAATGGGCGTATCCCAATAGAAAATAGGCGTGTTCTTGTAAAAATGGGCGTGGCACAGTAAAGCACGAGGCCCCCCATAAGCACGAGGCCCGCAGCATATGCCGCATCTGCCACGTGGTTAATACGGTCCTGGAGAAGCATATCAACATTATTTCCAGCATTTAAGTAGAGATGCCATTTAACATTATTCAGTGGAATCAAATCCCCAATGATCAGCAGCAAGTGAATGGCCAAGCACCACATTTGAGCAGCTTTAGAACACAACACAATTGAAACAAAAAATGTAAGACATTGTAACTATTAAACAAGACATTATACAGGTAAAGTTTGTTTACAATTGAATCATGCAATGTCTGCAGATGATTGAAACTGACAAATAATTAACTTGTTTTGCGATATTTTAAATCATCATATTAATGTGTGCTTAATGTTAACTCATTCATTTGTTTTGCCATCAAAAGAATTGGATTAACGTCTGCCATTTTCATAGCCACTGAAAATGGAGAATACTGTAAAAAAGTGCACACAATGCATTGTGGTTGATCAGGACTTTTGGCAAACACTACTTGCGAGCATCATATACCTTATGGATGAAACTGACTATGGGCTCCATTCTGTAAAGTTTAAAAATTTTAAACATGAACCCACTATGTTGTTTCAGGTTGTTCTCATTAGACGACAGCTTCTTCTTAGTTGCTTGTGATGTTACTCTGAGTGTATATCCACACTGAGCAGGCTTGAAAAATATGCCTGGCCACGGTGGGAATCGAACCTACAACCTTTGGAATACTAGCCCAATGCTCTGCCAACTGAGCTACGGGGTCAGGTCAGTTCGAGTATGTGATGTTTCGGTACACTACACCAACACAGCAAATATTCTTCTCAGTTATTGGCGATGGCTTGTTTGCATCATTATAATATCCAAAATCAAATTTGGATAATCTGTCGTTTAATTCACCAACAGTTAAGTAAGCTTCATTCTTGATGAAGACTTTCAACATCTCCTTCATTTTGTAGTGCAATGCCCCTTCAAGCATGCCATGCATCACATCTGTAGGCAGTCCACCAACCACATGAAAAAACCTGCTGTTGTTCAGGATTGATCTTCGGTTAATCCCATTCATTTTACTAAAATACTCTCCAAACGCTGATATTTCCTCCCAGTGATATTTCCTCCCAAACCCCCAGTAGGTTTGAAGCAAAAAATGTTTCTCGTGAAACTGAAAATATATCAATGCAAGATATAATATGAAAATCAGATTTGAAAAAGACCTTAGTAAAATTGCACTTTACTATTTAGAACAAAAACTGTTTTGAGTCCAGGGGGTGTGGACATTAATTTGCCATAATTTGCCAACAAAACAACAATTTACATATTAGAAGAAACTATTAGGGCTAGGGGCCCTTTCCATTAATATTGCCAAACCGGTCAGAGCGATCAAATTGTTGAATGGAACACAAAATATGTGGGCTTCGGACCTACCTGACCAGAAAATTTAGATAATATTAGAATGAGGTCCATTTTCGCTAGACATTTGGGAAACATATACCAGACCTTTCCATTGATACAGACAGGGGCGTAGCG